GCCCCCCACCCCACCCCACCACCCTCCCATGCGCGCACCCGCCTCTCGTCGCTGCCGTGCCCCACGCCCTGCATCTGCACCAGGAACTCCGTCTTGATGCGCCGCGCCGCCTCGCTCTCCCCCTCGCCGCGCGTGCTGCACAGCGCGTCGATCTGCAGGCCGCAGGCGGCACGGGGGCAGGCCGGCAGAGTGGTAGGAATCGCTGTGGTTGTGCTGTGGCTGCGCCGTGGCAACGGAGCTGCCGATTCACAGGCCCACCAGGTCGCCCGCCTGCCCCATCCCTAGCCTGCAGGCCCCCACCAGCGTGCCACCTGCCCCCACCAGCCCCCAGCCAGCCAGCCAGCCAGCCCGACAGCAGGCACGCGCCTCGTCGATGAAGATGATGGCTGGCGACTTTTCCCTGGCCAGCGCAAACAGGCTGCTGACCAGCTTCTCGCTCTCTCCCAGCCACTTGGACACCAGGTCTGAGGAGGAGACGGAGAAGAAGGTGGAGTCGGCCTCGGTGGCCACCGCCTTGGCCAGGTACGACTTGCCGGTGCCGGGGGGGCCGTACAGCAGGATGCCGCTCCACGGCTTGCGCTTGCCGGTGAAGAACTGCGGGGGGGGGGGTGGCGGGCAGGCTGAGTGGTGGTGTTGCTGGCTGGCTGGCACGGGTGGGTAGCTGGCTGGCTGCCGGCACGGTGGAGGGGTGGCGGGCCCGTAAGCAAGATGAACAAGCACGCACAGGGACCCTCATCATCTCTGCCTGCACCATGCGCCCGCGCTATCTGCACTGCTGCGCGGCGCCCTGCACACTCTGCGCCTGCCCGTGCGGCAGCCCACCTGCGGGAACTTGACGGGCAGGATGACGGCCTCCTTGAGCGCATCCTTGGCGCCCTCCAGCCCCGCCACGTCGTCCCACTTCACATTGGGCTTCTCCTCCAGGATGGCGTTGCCCAGGCTGCTCTTCATCTTGTCCAGCTCGTCCTGGCCAGGGATGTGTGGTGGGGGGAGCAGGGGGGAGCACAGCGTGGGGCAGGCAGCAGCGGGGAGCGGGTGGAGCAGCAGGGCCCGCGGCGGACAACAGCAGCGTAACCATTAGCGGAATTAGCCTTGCATCAATGGCAACATGACCCGCCAGCTGCAGGGCTGCGCCCCACCTGCTTGCCATCGCCGCCGCCGCCGCCGCCGCCGCCGCCGGGGCGTGGCCCCTTTGCTGCTGCCGCGCCGTTCTGCCCCGACGCCTCCTCCGCCGGTTGCCGCCCATCCAGGATTCCCTTGATGTACTCCGCCCGGTCAAGGTACTCCTTGAACTGTAGAGGCCAGGCCAGGGCAGGGCAATGAAGGGCAGAAGGAGCAGAGGTAGCAGCGCAGTGGCGCTTCTCGAGGCAGCACTCAGCAGCAGCTCGGCAGCAGCCTCCCCACCCCAACAAAACGCAAGAGGCCAGCGCCAGCCCACCTTGTTTGAAATCATCTCCCGTGACTTTGGGTTCTTGTCGTACTTCAGGTGGGTGCTGAAGTACTCCAGCGCGCGCTTGTACAGCTCCAGCGCCGCCGCCCAGTTCTGCTTGTTGTCCTCCTCCACCGCCTCCTTGGCCAGCTCTATCCCCTTCTGCATAAAGTTGCCGTACCTGCTCGCAGGGACGGGCACGCAGCCAGGCAGCGGGCATGGTGCATGGAATGCATCAGCCCATGGGTCGCAAGCGGGCTGGCACCGCGGGCAGGTAGGCGCAGGCACGGCAGGTGTCGGCGGCACTGGCGGCGGGTGCAGCGGCGGGCAGGGCCCTGGGATGCACAGCAGCTCACATGGCGTCGCCTCGTGCTGCCTATCCTGCCCTGTGGCGCTGCTGGGCCTGCCCAGCCGGTGGTAGCAGCAACGACACGCCCTCACGGGCTGGCGATCGGCCTCAGCCTCGTCACGGGCTGCTGTCAGGATTGTGCGGTAGGCGGTGGGGCGCCCAGAGGGGCAGTGCGTTACAGGAGGCAGACCAGGGCAGCGAGGCAACACGCTTATGCTGGAGGGGGTTGACTAGTGTCGGGGTGCAGTTAGATGCGTCATGGATGGGCCACAGAAGCAAGCTTTTAGGGGGCAACAGAGCTGTGGAGGCAGTGGAGCTCCAGTCACGACAGGCTGGCATTAGCTCAGCTCCTCCCCTGGAGCCCCGCACTTGCTACCGCCCCTCCTGCAATCAGGGTGTCCGCCATGGCGGACTTCAAGCTTCGCTGCGAACTGAGGGGTCACCTTGAAGATGTGGGTGGCCGCTGCTGGATGCCCAAGCTGCTCAGGGGTGCCGCGAGACCCCACCACCCCCTGATCGCACTGCCTGAAATGTCCTGCAGGTGCGATCGGTCTGCATCACTCCAGAAGGGAACGTGCTGACGGGCTCTCGAGACAAGACGATCAAGCTGTGGGCGCCCGATGGCCACGACAGCGGGTTCAGCGAGGTTCTGACGCTGGTGCGCCGGTGGGGCCAGAGCACCTGGCGGCAGCAGCGACGGGGCAGCGGCAGCGCAGGCGGCACCCACCCAGCGCCCTGCTGGTTGCCCACTGGCTGCATCCCCGATGCCGCGCCGCGCTTGCTGCACAGGTGGGCCACACCGACTTTGTGTCGGCGCTGGCGTACTTGGCGCCTGGCGTGCTGGAGGGCTGCCCCAATGGCGGCGTGGTGTCGGGCTCGCGGGACACCACGGTGCAGGTGTGGGACCTGAAGACGGCGGCCGTGGTCCAGCGCCTGGAGGGGCACCAGTACCAGGTGGGTGGGTGGGTGGGTAGTTATGGGGGTGACCGCTGGGCTGCTGCTGTCGCGCTCTCTGGCTCGTTCATGTGCTGCTCCTGCATGGGATGCCACGTGCCGGCGACGCACCCACCCCTGTGCCCCGCCACCTGCAGGTGACGGCGGTGCTGGTGACCCCAGACGGCGACATTGTGTCGGCGGCGCTGGACAAGAGCATCCGGGTGTGGCGCGGCGGGCAGTGCGTGCAGGTGCTGGAGGGCCACGAGGCGGCCGTGCTCTGCCTGCTGCAGCTGCCAAACGGCGACCTGCTGTCGGGGTCGGGCGACTGCACCATCAAGGTGTGGTCGGGAGGAAAGTGCACCCACACCATCGCCGCCCACAGCGACTCTGTCAGGTGGGCGGCAGGGGGCGGCTGCTCCAGCACCGTTAGTCTTGGGGTGGGCTTCATGGTGCAGGGCAGGTGGCGGCAGCACGCAGCACGGCTGATTGGGCTGCCCTGCTGCCTGCCCGCTGGCCGGCGCGGCTGGCGTGCGTACAGGGGCCTGGCGCTGCTGCCCGGCGTGGGCGTGGTGTCTGCCTCCCACGACCAGACCCTCAAGGTGTGGACCTTCAGCGGCGAGTGCATCGCGGAGCTGGTGGGGCACACCTCTCTGGTCTACTGCGACGCCGCCACCCCTGACGGGCTGGTGGCCAGCGGCAGCGAGGACAACACCGCCAAGCTGTGGCACGCCGACGGCACCTGCCTGCAGGTGGGGCGCAAGGGTTGGGGGCGGGTGTGGGCGTGCCGGTGGTGGTCGCGGGCGGGCGCTGGCGCGGGCAGCGCCGCTGCTTGTGCTGCTTGGGCCGGCCCATCCGCTGCTGCCACTTGCTGGCACCATTGGTGTGCACCTCATCGAGCGTGCTGTGCTGGGCGGTTTCCCTATCCTGCTGCCGTCTGCTGCAGACCATTGAGCACCCCAGCAACCTGTGGGGCGTGGCCTTCCTGCCCAACGGCGACTTTGTGACCGCCTGCTCCGACCATGTGGCCTATGTGTGGACGCACGCAGCAGAGCGGCACGCGCCCGCTGCAGTGGCGCAGGTGGGTGGGCCTGGCCTCAGGTGTCCTCACTGTATGCCTTGGGCTGCGTGCCCCTGCCTACTGCTAGTTTCCGCCGCCCGGCGCTGGGAGCCGCTGCCTGCACCTGCGCCCGCCTCACCCCCACCTGGCTTTCGTGGCGGTACCGGGCACCCGACATGCGGTACTTGGCGGTGCTGCAGGCATACGAGGAGGCGATGGCGGCCAAGCACGAGGCCGCGCAGCAGGCGCAGCAGGCCAGCGCCGGGGGCGGGCTGCCCGCGGGGCTCAAGCTGGAGGACCCTTCGGTGCTGCTCATGCCGGGGGCGCGGGATGGGCAGACCAAGGTGGTGCAGGAGGGCAGCGCGGGGGTGGCCTACGCCTGGGATGCCGCCAAGTGAGCGCCTGGTCCTGCAGCACACAGCCTGCGCTGGGTGTGCTGCGTGCGGCTGGCGACCGGACCCGGCCATGGCTGCCACAGCATGCAAGCCAGCTGCGGCCGGCAGTGCCCCTCTTTCCATCACCAGCGCAGGCCTTCTTGTTCCTGGGCAGCAACTGCTCACCCCTGGCTCTCCTCCTGTCCCCCTGCCTGCCCTGCCGCAGGGGCGAGTGGGAGCGGATTGGCGAGGTGGTGGGCGGCGACGGCGACGGCGACAACGTGGCTGGCGGCGGCAGCAAGTGGCACAATGGCCAGCTGTGGGACTATGGTGAGCAGCAGAGCGGGCCCGACCTGGGTGGCTGGCGGGTGGAGTAGGCAGGCAGGCATGCTGCCGCCGTGCCCCTCCTCCACCGGTATCACACCAAATGCGCACTTGCGCACACACGTACGTTCAAACACTTTTGCCCCAACTGCACCACCACCACACCACACACAATCACACGACACACTCTCTCTTCCCTACCTCTTCACCCCACCCCCACCCCCCACCCCATGCCACCGCCGCCAGTGTTTGATGTGGATGCCGAGGAGGGGGCGCCGCCCCGCAAGCTGGCGCTCAACCGCGGCGACAACCCATACGATGTGGCCGACCGCTTCCTGGAGGACCACGGCCTGCCGCAGAGCTACAAGTGAGGGGTGGGGGAGAGGGTGGTGGGAGTGGGTGGGGGACCTTGGTATGCAGCAGCACTGTTGGTTGATCTGCGCCTGCCGCTGGCCCCACACACACTCCCATTCATCAAACCAGCTCACCTGCCCCCACCACTCCCGCCGCCCGCACCACTCCACCACCGAGCCGCAGGGAGCAGGTGGTTGAGTTCATCCTGAGGAACACGCAGGGCGGCGTGCAGGCAGCGGCGGCGGGGCAGTACGTGGACCCCTTCACGGGAGCCTCCGCCTATGTGCCCCCGGCCACCAGCGGCGGCGCGGGCAGCGGCGGCGCGGGCGGCAGCAGCAGCGGCGGCGGCGGGTATGCGGTGACGGGCGGCGGCGCCGACCCGTTCACTGGCGGCGGCGCAGCCCCGCTCACCCACCTGCCCGCCAAGAGCTACCTGGTTTACGACCAGGTGGGTGGGCTGGCAGGGCGGCTGGGATGGGCGCTGCGCCCCCTCTCTGTTCCCTGTTTTCGCTGTTTCGTGTTCTGGCTGCTCGCCGCTTGTCCTCACCAACCCACACAGATCACACACACTCTCTCTCTGTCTCTCTCCTGCCCGACCTGCAGGTGCCCGGCAGGGACGGCATCCGCAGAAAGGTTGCGGAGTTTAGCGCGGCGGTGGCTGCGGGCGGCGGCCAGGCCCTGTCAGACGCTGAGCTGGCAGAGGGCGGCACCCTGGACAGCTTGCTGAGCAGGTGGGCGTGGTGGCAGGACTGGTCCCACTCGGCGGGATGCTTCAGCTGGGGCTGCGCTCTGCCAGCTCTGCTCACTGACTAGTGCACAAGCAGTGGTGCTGGATTTGAGGAGCCGGGCTGGCCGCCTGCACCTGGTTCCCTGCAAGTGCAGAGCGGCGGCGGCGGCCGGCAGCAGCGGCAGCGGCGCCCTGCCCGACGCTGACCTGGCAACGCTGTCCAAGATGCTGAGCTGGCCGGCGGCGCAGCTGTTCCCAGCCCTCGACCTGGCCCGCCTCCTAGTGCTGGACCGCGCCGCGGGAGGGCAGCTGGTGGCTGCGGCCGGCCCTGCGGCGGCTCAAGGCGTGCCCGGCCTGCTGGGCGCCGCTGTCTCTGCCGCCTATGCCGACCCGCCGGTGCCTGCGGCGCAGCAGACGGCGGTGCGCCTCGCCTGCAACTGCTTCCTGCACCAGCCCACGCTGTTCTGGGTGCAGTCGGCGGGCAGCCGCCTGCTCGACTGCTTTGCGCAGGCCGCGGGCTCGCCCTCCAAGAATGTGCGGCAGGGCCTGGCCACGCTGCTGGTCAACTATGCGGTCTGGCTGTGCAAGCTGGCCAGCGCGGAGCTGGAGTTTAAGAGCAGGGTGAGTGCTGGTGCGCTGAGGGTCGGCCGGTGCGGGGCGTGTGCCGCCAACGTCGGCGACGGAGTGTGTGTGGCCTGCGGTGCGTGTCAAGCCGCTCTCAGCAGGGCTGTTGGCGCTGAGCCGACGTGTGCGCTGCCGCGTGCCTCCCTCTTGTCCCCCTGCAGCTGCTGGTGCTGGCTGTGAAGGTGCTGAATGCCAGCCCCGCCGACGACACGGAAACGCGGTTCAGGTGGGGAGCTGGGGCTTGTGGAATGTGTGGGCATGGGCACCGCCATGCCGCCCTGGGCGCCATGCCTGTTTGTCAGATGTCCTGGTGGAACGTTTTGGCATTGTGTGCATTTGCATATTGTTGCTGCTGCTCTCACGCTCGATGCAGGGCGCTGGTGGCGGTGGGCACGCTGGCCGGCGAGCACAGCAAGGTGCGGGGTCTGGCCCGGGAGCTGGGCTTCCTCCCCCTCACAGGCTCCCTCAAGACCGCGGGCGGCAAGGTGGGGGAGGTGGCGGCTGAGGTGGCGCAGAAGCTGCGGCTGTGATCAGCACTAGGGGCAAGTGAGCAGGCAACACGGTGTGGCACAGCTGGCGCTTGTGCCCTGCCTGCCTGCACAACATGAGGAGCTGAGCAGGCGCCACACCAGCATCATCGGACAGCTTCCTTGCCGATGCTGCAGCTGCTCTCAGCTGTTTTCAAAACCCATACAGTGACACAGTGTAGCAGCGCTCCAGAGAAAAGGCAGGCACAAGGTACTTCACAGCAGGGCGGTGGCCTCAATCTCAACCAGCGCTCCCAGGGGCAGGCCTGCAGGGTGGTGGGTCGAGCGGATCGGTGTGTGCGGTGGAGAGCAGTTGCAAGGCAGGGTGCTGGGGAGGGCCACGGGGTGCGGCGGATCGACAGATGTGGTGGAGGTGGTGGGTGAAGGAACAAGCGCTGCCTGCGGCCACGGCCGCCACAGGCCCGACAGCCCCCGGCTGCTGTGCAGGGCCCCTTCCTCCACCGCCCGCCAAGCAGCCTCACCCTTGACAGCAAAGGTGGCGCGTGCGGGAGGGTTCTCCGGGAAGTACTTGCCGTACACCGCGTTCACCGTGGCAAAGTCTGCCATGTCCACCAGCAGGATGGTGGTCTTCACCACCTTGCCCCACTCGCTGCCCGCCGCCGCCAGGATGGCCCCCAGGTTGGACATCACCTGCTCCGCCTGCGCCTCCACGCTGTCCCCGGCAAAGTCCTTGGTGCCGGGCACCAGGCCCTGCGGGCGAGTGGCGGGTAGGGAGCAAGGGACACATGGGCAGGCAGTGGTGCGCGTGGGATGGCCAGAATGAGGGTGCCACGAAGCCAGCAGCAACGGCGACAGGACAGCAGCGCATGCATGTCCTGATCAATGCCGTGTGGAGATGCATGAGGAGCGCACGCACCACTTGGCCCGAGATGTAGACCATGCCGTTGGCCTTGATGGCCTGAGAGTAGGGGCCCACAGCACCGGGCGCCTTGTCGGTGCTGACCACCTCGCGGGCTGCGGCAGTAGAAAGGGAGGGCGGCGGGCAGTGCAGCGATGTGTGTAAAAAGGGACAGCCCGCTGGTGTGGTGGTTACGTTTCACCAACACCGGCTCATGGCCAAGCTCTGCTGCCGCTCCAGCTCTTCCCGTGGCTGCCCCCTTGCACCGCCGCTGCCATGTGCATGCGCTCCAGGCCCCCAGGGCCCTTCGCACCTGCTGCCTGCACGGACATTGCGCGCCTCTGCTGCACGGCACGCAGGCCCTGCCTGACCACCCTCTGCTTGTTCACCGAGAGCCTGGCGGCAGCGGCGGTGGAGCACACAGCGCTCAGCACGGTAGCGGCCATTCCTCACAGCAACGAGGAGTGGGGCTGGAGACAGAGGCGCTGCGATCGGGCTTCGATGGCTGCGCGACGGCTCTGAAATGCATGTCGAGTGGCAAGGGCCATTGGAAAGCCGGGACACCCAAAACAGGCTGTGGGCGGGCCCAGGCCATTCCTCCCTGCCTCCGATTGCCTGGGCGATGCCTGTCGAAGGCTGATCGCTGTTGAGACGTCATCGGCAGTGCCCACTCTTGAGCAGAGCGTCTCCAGCGCTCCCCAGCGTCGTCCTGTGATTGAGTAGGGTCTGGAGGCATCGGGGATCACTGCAACATGCAGCTGACGGCCCTCCTCCAGGCCGCCCAATCTGCGGACGCCGCAGTTCGCAACCAGGCGGAGCAGACGCTGAACAGCCTGCAGCAGCAGCAGTATGCAGAGCTGTGTGTGGGCCTGTCCGCGGAGCTGGCCGACTCCAGCAAGCCGGTGGACGCGCGGCGGCTGGCGGGCCTGATTCTGAAGAACACGCTGGACGCCAAGGAGGATGCACGCAAGGTGGGGCGGTCGGGGGACCAGGCGGTGGCCAGGCAGCCGGGAGGCGCAGCACCCACCCACTTTGATCACATGGCAGGAGCTACCTGCTTCTGGTGGGGCTTTGGCAGCCCTGGGCCCGCTGCTGGCGATCATCAAGGGCGAGGCCGCCCTCCTGGGCACTGCCTTGCGGCACAATACCCTGTGCGGTGGGTGCGACCGCCTGCCCCTCTCGCCGCCGCTGGGTGCTCTCCTCGCAGGCTGCGCTGGTCCAGCAGTGGGTGGCATCGGATGCCGGGATGAAGAAGCAGGTCAAGCAGAATCTGCTGGCCACGCTTGGGACCCAGGTAGGCAGGGCAGCCAGGGGCCGGTGGCTGGCATGCCGCCGCGGAGGGCTCTAGAGCGGGCACGCGCCCGCCAGCCTTGCGGCAGTCGCAGCCACCGCGCCTGGCGCCGCAACCCTGCCCGCAAGCGTCGCCGCCGCCGCCGCAGGGCGACGCGGGGCACACCGCGGCGCTGGTCATCGCCAAGGTGGCCGCCATCGAGGTGCCGCGCAGCGAGTGGCCAGAGCTGATCCAGGCTCTGCTGGCCAACATGAGCGCCTCGCCCTCCACCAAGGAGCTGCGGCAGTCCACGCTGGAGACGCTGGGGTACACTTGTGAGGAGCTGGGCAATCTGGATGAGGACTACCTGTCCCAGCAGGAGGTCAACTCCATCCTCACCGCCGTGGTGCAGGTGCGGGCGCGAGCGGGTTGCGTTTGAGGGGTGTGCGGGGGTGGGGGTGATGCCGCGGCGCGTTGATGGGCAGCCAGGGCAGCACCAAGTGGCAGGCCTGCCCCATGCCCAGCGGCCTGGGGAGGCGGGGGGGGCTGGGAGGCAGGGTGCTTAGCCGGAGCGGCGGCCTCACGACCCTCCATGCTGCACCTGCTGCGTGTGGAGCAGCGCCGAGGCTGAGCTGGCGATGCCACGCGTGCACCCCACGCCCCCTGCTGCCTGGTGCAGGGCATGCGCAAGGACGAGCCCGAGGTGGATGTGCGGCACGCGGCCACCGTGGCGCTGCAGAACGCGCTCACCTTTGCGCACAACAACTTCTCAAACGACAACGAGCGCAACTACGTGATGCAGATCATCTGCGAGGGCACGCTGGCAGGTGGGCGGGCGGGCGCGTGGGTGGCATGGGTGAGACAAGTGTGAGCACGTGCTTTGAGCACCAAACGCATGGACGGCCCTGCTGGGCTGGATCGGCAGCGGCAGCTCTGCTCACGTCGGCCCACTGCGCGCGCGTCCCTCCCCCGCGAGCCCCTCCCCCGCAGAGAGCCCGCGCATCCGCCAGGCCAGCTGGGAGTGCCTGTCGTGCATCGCCAGCGGCTACTACGACAAGCTGCCGGCCTACATGCAGGACATCTTCTCCCTCACGCAGCGCACGGTCAAGGGGGATGAGGAGGACGTGGTGCTGCAGGCGCTGGAGTTCTGGTGCACGGTGGCGGAGGAGGAGCTGGACAGGGATGGGGTGAGCTCAAGGGGCAGAGAGGGATGGGAGGGATGGGAGGGAAAGGGAGGGACAGGGGCAGTAGGCACTGCGACGGGTGCTCGGCACGCACGCTGCCACTCGCCTCTCCACGCTGCTTGCAAGCCTGCCTGGGGTGCGCCTCTCGCCGCCTCTGGGCTGCCCGGCTGAGCGCTCGCCTGCACCCCCCCACCCCACCCTGCCGCCCGCAGGACGGCGCCAGCACCGACGCCGACAGCGTGAACCACCACTTCATCAAGGCAGCGCTGCCGCACCTGGTGCCGCTGCTGCTGGAGCAGCTGACGAAGCAGGAGGAGGGGCAGGAGACCGACGACGGCGTGTGGAACGTGTCCATGGCGGCGGGCACGTGCCTGGCGATATGCGCGTCGGTGGCGGGCGACGCCGTCGTGCCCCTGGTCATGCCCTTTGTCACCTCCAACATCCAGAAGCCCGACGGCGCGGACAACTGGCGGGCGCGGGAGGCGGCCACCTTTGCCTTTGGCTCCATCCTGGAGGGGCCTGGCGTGGACACGCTGGGCCAGCTGGTGCAGTCGGGGCTGGGCTTCCTGCTGACAGCTCTGAAGCAGGACCCCAACGCGCACGTGAAGGACACCACGGCGTGGACGATAGGTGGGGCGGAGGGCAAGGTTCTGAGTTGGAGGGACATGAGGGGCAGCACCCAGGCTGGGGCGGGCACTGCAGCGTGGTGGGGAAGCCTTGTGGCGCTGCCTCTCACTTGGCGGCGATGAAAACTCGGAACCCTTGTCCGACACACGCATGCACTCCTCCCCCCTGCCTGCCTGCCCCCCCCCACCCTGCAGGCCGCATCTTCGAGTTTGTGCACGGCGACGACTCCGCGCCGCCCCTGCTGGGCCCCGGCAACCTGCCTCAGGTGGTGGAGGCGCTGCTGCTGGCCATCCGCGATGCGCCGCACATTGCGGAGAAGGTGGGGGGAGAAGCCACCTGCGCTGCGCCGGCTGCGCTGAGGCTGCCGTCGAGCTTGTAAAGCTGGTGTGACAGTGCTGCTGCTTGCGCTGGCTTTCTCGCTGACGCTCCGCCTGGCTCCCACCACCAGCGACGCTGCCGCTGCCGCGCTGCCGCCGCCGCGCAGGTGTGCTACGCCATCAGCCAGCTGGCGGGCGGGTTCCGGGAGCAGCGCGGCACCTCCGCCATGTCGCCCTACTTCAAGGACATAGTGCAGGCGCTGCTAGAGACGGTGAGGCATAGGGGATGTGGGTGTAGGGTGTGGGTGGGTGGCGATGTTTTGCGGCGGTAGTGCTCAGCGGCTGGGGCGCCCCGCTCCCAGCTGCCTATTGCGCCTGCCTGGTGCGCCGAGCCTCGCTTGCGCCGAGCAACCCACATTCCTGCGCTCCTCACTCCTGGGTCCCTGCCCGCGCCGCCCCGCAGGCCTCGCGGCCCGCCGACGCCGCGGAGCAGACGCGGCTGCAGACTCAGGCGTTTGAGGCGATCAACGAGGTGGTGCGCGCCTCGGCGGCCGACACCACGCCCATGGTGGTGCAGCTCATCCCGCTGGTGGTGGGCAAGCTCAACGAGACGCTGCACATGGGCGCAGCGGGCAGCGTGGAGGCGGCGGAGCGGCAGAGCGAGATCCAGGTGCGGGGGGGAGGGGCAGAGGGAGAGGGGTGGAGGGCGGGATGCTGGTGGCTGTGCTGCAGGCGCTGACTCTTGTCCCGCCGATCCTGCCACCGCCGCATCGCCACGCTCCTTTCCGGCCTCCCGCCGCACCCTGCCAAACACTCCCCCTCCTGCCCTGCCCTGCCCTGTCCCTGTGGCCCCTGCAGGGCCTGCTGTGCGGCATGACGCACGTGATCGTGCAGAAGCTGAGCGACAGCGACAGCGCCAAGGCAGGGGTGCTGCAGTACGCGGACCACATCATGGACGTGCTGCTCAACGTGTTTGCCTGCCGCAAGGCGTCGGTGCACGAGGAGGCGATGCTGGCTGTGGTGCGTGGGTGGGCGGGGGTGGGTGGGAGGGGAGGCCACAGCAGGCGCGCCGCCGCCTGCTGCACCCGATGCCCGCACGGCGCCGCGGCGGCCATGCAGCGGCATGCAGCGGCATGGCGGTGAGCAGCGCTCCGCGTGGGCAAGTGTGCTGCCAGGCAGGCAGGCAGGCACGTCGGCGCAGGGCACACACCGCGCATGGTCTTCCAGCAGCTGCTTGGCCACTTTGAGGTCCACCCTGCCCACCAGCTCAGCCTCCTTCTCCTCCTTGCTCTTCCTCCGCAACGCATACCGCTTGTCCACCTGCGCTGGCGGCGGCGCGGCAGCCGGCGGCAGGAGCGGCGTCGGCCGATCACTTCGCTGGCCACGCTGCGGGCTGCAATGCGCCACAGCGCCAGGGAAGCTAGCAGTGCCAGCCCTCCTGTCTCACGCCAATGGTGGCTCCCATACCCGACCAGCCATCCACC